TGGTGGTCATATCTTCCACTGTATGGGAATCTGGAACAGCTGATACTGGTGGTCATATCTTCCACCGTAGCCCTCAGCTTTTCTGTTCCCCACTCTACGTCCATCTATTAATAGGACATCGCCTTCAACAAATAAAATTCCAACAGTTAGCTTCTCTTGGGCTGAGAATTAACATGTGGAATCTCACATTTAACATCTTATTCATAACAGAATGGTGGGTGGAAATGAAGTTTTATATTTGAATCTTTGATAAGCCTTAATGTTTTATAGTTAACCTTTTTTCCTCACTAAATATAAATTTTTTGAGACAAGGATAATGTCTTTTTTTCTTTCTGGAGTTTTGGACACTATAAATACCCAGGCAGTATATTGTTGATTGAGGGTATGGAAATTTGATCATTTGTAGCAGTTTCTGGCCCTGTAAAAAGATAGTGTTGACTTTTCTGAATATTTATTTCACAGCGCATAAATTTAAGGTGTAGTTTATTGAATTCACTGTGATTACCATATCTAAATATTTCTGTACATTATTTGTATTACAGTTATAGGAGCATTATTTTAACAGTATAATGATTGACTTCTATTTTGTATAATTAATGGGCTCTGTTTTTCTGTTGTCTCTATTTGTGCTCATATGGATAATACAGTTCTCATTCTTGAATATTTGTTATTTAAGTGCACTATTTGTGTTTTAAAGTTTTGAAAAATAATCTGTATGTTCTTATTTTTCAGAACACCTTAGCCGAGCCATCAAAGGCTAGTGGAAGTATGGTTCGCCATTCTTCATCTCCATATGTAGTATATCCATCTGATAAGCCTTTCCTTAATAGTGATCTACGACGCTCCCCAAATAAGCCTACACTTGCCTATCCAGAAAGCAACAGCAGAGGTAATAGTGCCTAACAAAGTAGATGTTATCTATGTCTGTTCACTGCTTTACAATTCTTAATTTTGTCCTCTATTATTTTGAAATTAGAGGAAAGTTTATTTCTCCCTCTATTTCCAGTTTTTAGCCTTCTCTAAATACTATGCTTCTTGTGTTCCTTTTATCGATTATTGAACGTCATCTTGCACAAGATCACCAAAGCTGAAGTGCTTGGTGCCTATTTTGTTGTTGCTTTTGGTTCTCGTTGCTTTGGTTCAGGCACTCATAATCTGTTGCCTAGATATTCATAATAGACTCTAATTGATCTCCGTATCCATTTTTTCCTTCTTATCCCCAGTTAGCAACATTTTTATTATTACCCATCATCTCTCCCACTTCAGTCCTCTGCATGGCTTACATTTTTTATAACCTAGACCTAGACCATCATCCTGGCCTGTGTCTTTTCTTTTCTTTCTTTTTTTTTTTTTTTCCTTACCCATCCTTTGCTCTGGCTACTTTGAAATGTATTTGCTCATGGAACCTGCCATCTGGGTTGGCTTTCCTGCTGCCTTAACAGATTGACACAAACTTAGCTTTAAAAAACACAAATTTGCTTATTATCTTACAGTTTTTTGTAGCTTAGACATCTGCCTAGGGTCTAACCACGCTGAAATCAAGGTGGAGTTGTGTTCTCATTGGAGACTCTGGGAGAAATCTACCAAGCTCATATAGATTCTTAGCCAAATTCGGTTGCCAGTGTTTGCAGGACTGAGATTCTTGTGCCTTGCATACTGTCAGGTGGAGAGTCTTTCTCCTAGAAACTGTTCTTATTTGTTCTCATGTCTTTCTCCTACAGTCACCTACAGTGACAGGATATTAGAGGAATCATCTTTGAAATGTTTTTTTCTTCTGTAGCCTTTAAAATATACCGACCTTATACTTTTTGTATGAATGAGAGGTTTAAATGAAATGTATTTGCTTTATTTGAAAGGCTGATCTATTTTTTTCAAATTGTATCTAATCACTAATATTGTAGCAGTTATTTATGTAATGATTCTTTATGACGGTAAAAGACATGTTATACAATTTTAGCCTTGTCATAAGCTAAACAGACATTTATAAATCAGGAACTTTTTTGTTTTTCAAATGGGATGTATTATGAATTTCTTAAAAATTAATCTGATGAAACTATTTATCAAACTGTGGGCTGACTGTATGATAAAATCCAAGTCAATAATAACATCCAAGTATAGTTGCTAGTATAAATCTTACCTCATAATGGGGCTCAAAATTTTTATTGAAATAAATTTAAGCAGATAGCCTGGTATCTTTTAAGAATTTCAATACTTGATACTCACTAAGTAGAAACCTCTTTCCTCTTTTTTTTTTTTTTTTTTTTTGAGACAGAGTCTTATTATGTTGCCCTCGGTAGAGTGCCATCACGTCATGGCTCACAGTAACCTCAAACTCTTGGGCTTAAGTGATTCTCTTGCCTCAGCCTCCAAAGTAGCTGGGACTACAGGCACCTGCTACAACACCCAGCTCTTTTTTGTTGCAGTTGTCATTGTTTAGCAGGCCCAGGCCGAGTTCGAACCCACTGGCCTCGGTGTATGTGGCTGATGCCATAACCACTCTGCTTTGGGTGCTGAGCCAGAAACCTTTTATTTATAAGATACTGCATTTCAAGGATAAAATGTTAATTTAATGGCTAAAATAATTGATAAAGGTGCTATTGTTTACAATATAGCAGTTACAGGCTTTGGCAGTTTAAAAAATAATAATAAATTGCACGACATTAAAACAGCATAGATTAAAAAAGCAAAACATGAACAGCTGAATGCCACAGTGGAGCAGAAGACAGTAAGTTTCACCAATAATTTCTTATTTAAAAATAGGCACAAAGTAAGACAACCATATAACAAGAGTTCTAGCAGGAACACAGAATGTAGGATTAGATGTTAGTTCTTCCTTTACAATTTTATATTCTAGTCCTAATCTTTACATCCATGAAAAGAAATTTTTAAAAAAGTTCAGAGATAGGCAGTTTACTAAAGAACAAAAACCAGATAAGGTGGGTAGATTGAGTCAATAAATGTTTAGCCCAGTGTTTTACTTATAAAGCTAAATTTTTGAGTATGATATAGTGGTTTTAAGGAATAGAAGAGGGAAAGGAGAAAAGGAGATAAAAGAAAAATTAATAAGAGAAATAATATGCAGGACCATAAATAAACGTTGATGCTCTCAGAGGATAGGAAGTGAACTGTTTAAGCAGTGCCCCAGGTGATCATCACTGTTCATTACACTGCTGCAGCTTTTCTTGTGTTATCCTATAATACTTTCAAAATGAGAAGGATGGACACAGAAACTACCATCTTCTTCCCTTCCACAAAGGAAAGAAGGCTATAAAGTGTGGACAGAGGGCCAAGAGAATTCAGAAAAGGTACTTGGGGAAGGCCTGGAGAGGTGTGTGTTGGGGAAACTAGAGGAGAGAAAGACTTTTCAGAGGAAGAAAGAAAAACTGCATGAGGTGGGCTGCTAAGAAGGAGTAAAATTCTATAAGAAGAACATTTCTGTAAGAGGGTAGCATGCAAAAAATTCATAAACGACATTTTTACTACTTTGTCAAAAATATTGTTTTCTTTTTTCTTTCTGGAAGAGAATAACTTGAAGAATATAATGCTTAAAGTTACAGTTTAGTGCCACTTCCTTAATTTGAGCTAAAATTAGCAGTTTTACTGAAGGATGCTTTTGCATCATCATTAGCAAACATTAACTCAGTGAAAAGAGCAAAAAGTCTTACTAGTGTTAACCCTTTGACTGCAGGGTGCTCAGAAACCAAGCATGCCTACAGGTGTTGTTTGCACCAGAGGAGGATCTTGTATTGAAGGCCTGTAGGCATCGTGCATGAACTCTGTTATAAAAATACAGTGCTGGCCTCACAGACCCTGGGAAAGATTGCATGAACTCTTGTCTTTCATGGGTTCATGTATTTGAGAACTACTGTAATAAAGAGTTTGAGTACGTACAGGGTAGTGTTTTGTTGGTGTAAACATTTTTAACAGGTGTAGAAGAATGTAGCTAGTACCATCTTGTCTGGAATCTAGATGATGTTCCTTGAAGGGAGCGGTCATCTCAGTTGTCCTCATCTCATTCTTGCAGAGTACCTTGCATGACATGTGTGATCTGTAAATGTTTGTTGAACTGAAGTTTACGTCAGAGATGAGTCTAAACTAAAGCAGTGGCAGCATGCTTTAATGTGGGCAGTGAGGAAGATGGAAAAGTCTTTGAATCCAAGGTTTCTGTTATAGTATGGAGAATTAATGGTATGATTAAGACAGATTACAGAAAAAATCTAGTATTTCAAGGAGGTCTAATTCTGACTGTATTGAATGTGAAGTGCTTGTGAGAGTGAATGGAGGTAAATACTAAGCAGGTGAAACTGGAAGTCTCAGGTGTCATGGAGAATGCTGGTGATGAAACTAGGCAGGGTCATCAAGGGTGCAGTAGTAGACGGAGCCCGGGAGGGCTTTCTCAGAGGAGAACGGAGAGGGAAAAGAGCTCTGGAAAATACCACCATTTAGACAGTGAGCCACAAAGTAGGATCAGTCAGAAAGATAAATAACTACCAAGACAGCAAAATGGGGGAAACAAAAATGGCAAATTAGTTTTACTCCTTTAATCTACACAAACTCATATTGATGTATTAATAATAGAAATGTTCCAAACAACAGGTAAACCCGATGTTGTCATTAGCAACAGATAACATTGAGATCTGCTGAGTTTAGTGTGCACCATGCACTGCAGTCTTTTGAATTAATGACACACTGGACTTGACAAGTGGGTAGAAAGTCTTCTATTCTTTTAGTGCTGCCTGAAGTTACTTAAAGCTGTTCTTAAAGCTGTTTTTAGCTGGGCTTAGTGGCTCACACCTGTAATCATAGCACTCTGGCAGGCCAAGGTAGATAGGTTGCCTGAGCTCAGGAGTTTGAGACTAGCCTGAGCAAGAGGGAATCCCATCTCTTAAAAAAGAAAAGAAAAGAAAAGAAAAGAAATAGCCAGGTGTTATGGTAGGTACCTATAATCCCAGCTGCCCGGGTGGCTGAGGCAAGAGGATCACTTGTGTCCAAGAGTTTGAGGTTATTGCAACAAAATGAGACTCTGTCTCAGAAAAAAAAAAAAAAGCAGTTTCCAGGCTTCTTCCATTAGATTGGTCTAAGAATCCCCTTGGATCCCTGGCTTCCATTCAAAATATTCTTCTAGATATCTTTTTAGTTTTTGTTTGTTTGTTTTTGTATGGGGTATGTCCTAGGCTTTGTGATTTTTTAAATGTTCTTCAATGCTGAATTTAATGGGCTCACTCCTGTAATCCTAGCACTTTGGGGGGCAGAGGCAGGAGGATCTCTTGAGGCCAGGAATTGGAGGTCACAGTGAGCTATGGTGATACCACTGTACTTCAGCATGGGTGACAGAGTAGACCTTGTCTCAAAAATGAATAAGTAAATAAATGCTCATCAGGCATTTCAGAAGTACAGTAAAGTTAGGGAACCACTAACTATGTTGGCTAAAGGATGAAGTAGAAAGATGTAAAGTTTTACCAGGCAGGTAAAGAGGGAGAAAGGAATTGCTGTTAATTGTCTTCTAATTGCTCGTGGAGACTTTCTTTCACGTTTATTAACATGTCTGAGTGGGTCCCCTGTGGCAGCTCTTGCCTCTAAGCATTCTGGGAGGCCAAGGCTGGTGGATCACTTAAGCTCAGTTCAAGACCAATCTGACTGAGAGTGAGACCCTACCTCTACTAAAAATAGAAAAATTTAGCCAGGTATTATGGCATGCGCTTCCAGCTACTCAGAAAGATCACTTGGGCCCAGGAGTTTGAGGTTGCTGTGAGTTAGGCTGACACCATGACACTCTAGCCTACAGCAAAAGAATGATACTCTGTCTCCAAAAAAAAAAAAGTGACTGCCAAAAGAATAAAGAGGAAAAGCATGTGCAGTTGGCTGTCCATGTCCACAGGTCCTTATCCTTGACCTAAGCCAACTGAGGATCAGAAATGTAGTTGTATCTGTACTGAGCACGTACCTACATTTTTCCCTAAGCAGTACAGTATAACTACTGTTCACATAGCATTTACACTCTATTAGGTGTTATTATCTAGAGAAGATTTACAGTATACAGGAAGATATGCTAGATGATGTGCAAAAACTATACCATTTTCTATAAGGGACCTGAGCCTGCTCATATTGCGGGGGGCGGAGAGTATCCTGGAACCAGTCCCCTGTAGATACCCAGGTTCAACTCTGTTTATATAAATTCTCACCTTACCAAGAGCCAACAGAACATGCACAAGTACTAGCACAGCCCTCGCCATCCTGGGTTTGATGTTCTTTTGCCAGGGAAAACCAGAGAGAATACTGACTCTGGTTACCAAGTGAGTTACTTTCATAGGAACAAATACATGGCACCCTCATCTTTATTTTAAAAATTACCATAGACCCTCTATAAATTGACCACCCAAGAGACTGGTCAACATATGGGGGTGGTCAGTGTAAGAAACTAGTTTTCCTATACTGATATGTACATGTGATGCATATCCAGTCTATGAAAATTGGATGAACTTAAGGAGGGGGTTAATCTAGGAAGTTAGCCAACTATAAAGACTCTAGTACATCTGAAAAAGAGATTGTGTCCTTCCTGCAAGGAGCTCCCGTTTCAGTAACCAAGTGAAAGCTCTCCCTTTCTGTCTGTAATTCTCCAGAGGCATTCATACTTCCATATGTGACTAACCAAAATACATTTCATTTTGAACATGGGTGTCCAGAACTATTGTGGGTAATGTGGAAGGTAAAAATTTTAAATCCGGGCTCAGCGCCTATAGCTCAACCGGCTAAGGCGCCAGCCACATACACCTAAGGTGGCAGGTTCGAATCCCCAGCCCGGACCCGCCAAACAACAATGACAGCTGCAACCAAAAAATAGCCGGGCGCTGTGGCGGGCACCTGTGGTCCCAGCTACTTGGGAGGCGGAGGCAGGAGACTCGCTTGAGCCCAGGAGTTGGAGGTTGCTGTGAGCTATAATGCCACGGCACTCTACCCAGGGGGACAGCTTGAGGCTCTGTCTCAAAAAAAAAAAAAAAAATTTTAAATCCGAATTTGCTATGCACAATCTATTTCTAAGATGAAAAATGCAATATTCTCAGTATGTTACTTTTTTCTTTCAACAAATATTTATGAGTTTGCCTCTTGTTCTAGAAATATTTTCCTCACTGTCTCTCGCCCTGGTATACACATATGCAGTTAAAAATCTCTGAATTGTTTATTTCTGCACAGAGTTTGGTTTTTATTTTTTGCAGTTTTTGGCCTGGGCTGGGTTTGAACCTGCCACCTCAGGCATATGGGGCCAGTGCCTTACTCCTTTGAGCCACAGACGCTGCCCAGTATTTTTCATTTAAGGGCTTTTTCAAATAATATGGTAACTTAACCATTAATGGCATAGTAGTTCGTGAACTCAAAGAAGAGAGGACGATAGAAGGGGGAGAGAAGCCAAGAGTTCACTCTCATGCCTTTTTAAGGAGAGTATGAATGCTTAAGGTCTGTCTATAAAGCTGAAGACTTATACCAAATATGTAACTCTTAAAATGAAGATAAAAAATGTAAATTGATATCCTAGATCCAAAAATCTCTAATTAGAAAACTAGACATTTCATGGAAATTTTATTCTTTAGAAAGCTAGATATATATCCTAACAGGATGAAACACAATCTTGCTATACTTACTGTCTTTTATAAAATTGCATTTTCGACATGGAAAATAATGTTCTGCAATGTGTATAAAAGGGCAGACAATTAAGTTCATGAACTTATCCTAGAAAAAGTGCTACATACATCATTTGCTGAATATCACGTAGGGTCACCTTGAAAGTACTCCCCTTGGGAACCCATACACCAACACCAGCTCCATCATATATATAAGCTATTCCAGAATCAGAACAGGAAATTACATACCCCATCTTTTTGTTAATACCACATAATTCTGTGACACTACCGTTGCTAAATTACAGAACAAAAATGTAGTGTTCCAGCCAGTTTTGGTAATATATATGTAAAAATAAAATACTAGTGAAATTATGTACTACTGAATCTAGTTTAATGAAGGAATATCAGAGATGTTTGATATTACAAAGTTTTATTTTAGTAAATATGCTTCAGTGGTTCAGAAGATGTTAAGAAAATTAGATAATTTAAAGGACATTTAAAATTTTTTTTCTATTACATTTATCTTATTACTACAGGTATAAAAAAGAATTGCTCCATTTGATATTAATCTTAGATCTGAGTTTCTTTCTTATTCTCATAGTCTTTTCAGTTGATTTTTCAGATTTCTACTTGTATGTATTTCATGTCTACATTCCTTCCAGTTATTGTCTCATGGAATATTAGCTGGCTAATATTGTAAAATCTATCAGTTTTATTTGGGGCCTGTCACATCATATGTGCTGAAAATTTTGTTGAATGTATGATGTTAATAAATGGACAAATATGCCTTGCATTGACTCAAAGTATTCAATTCTTAAAAGATGGCAGCTCTCCCTACCTAATGTATGATTGAAATCAGCATTTAGGTAAAATGATTCTGAATAATTAATTGGTTAAAAATAGCATTGAAATGTTTAAAGATTTGTAAAATGTAGGAGACTAGCAGTATTGATGTTTATAAAGTTTTCATAATTGAAATAATGGTGTAGTATTAGTGAAACCAGAATAGAAGGAAAGTATGAAACTGCCTTGGGGAAGTATAATTACAGTGTCAATATATTATTATATGTCAGTATATATGAATTTACTATATGATAAATTGGGCATTTAAAGTTGTTCCTTTAGTACAAAAAATATTTTTGACTTAAGGAATAAAATGTAAAAATGCTTGAAATTCTAAATGGAATAAAAGAAAATATAAACTTTATCTGATCCTGAGATTGAGAAGAACTTTCTAAGTTTTAAGAAAACTTGATGGAAAATAATGTTAGGTATATCTTTGTGAAAAATCAAACATCTGTACATCAAAACTAGAATTCAAGACAAAATGCAGGGAGGGAGTTTTTCCCATAGAAAATTGAGCAGAGGAAATTTATGAAAGGGAGAAAATTGGCCAATAATGTATACAACAGATATATTTAAACTTGAATAGACGTGCAAAAGAACCAGAAGTAGCAGTTTTTCTTATCAGAAAGGCAGAGATTTTGTAATTTATACTGGTCTGTGTTGGCAAACATGTGCTTTGAATGAAAGTATAAATTGATGTGACCCCTTTGGAAGGTACTTTGTTTCAAGAGCCTTTAAAAATATGAATATTCTTTGATTTAGTAACTTTTTATTTTTTAAATATTGATCATAAAGAAATAATCTTTAAAGACTGATTACGTGAGGGAATGCTCACTGTCAATGCTGAGGTGAAAAACAAATTTAGTTATATTTAGGTCTCTATGTAAATAGAAAAGATTGAAAGAACTGAAAATGACTGTTATCTCAGAGTAGTAGGATAATTATTCTCTTCATTGTATTTTCTACATTTTCTACAGTGAATAGATATTACTTTTATAATCAGATTTTTTTTTTTTTTTTTAAAGACAGTCTTCAGGCTGTAGCCCTGGATAGAATGCTGAGGCGTCATAGTTCACAGCAACCTCAAACTCTTGGGATCAGGCCATCTTCCTGCCTCAGTTTTTCTACTTTTAGTAGAGACTGAGTCTCACTTTTGCTCAGGCTGGTCTCAAACTCATGAGCTCAAGCTATCCACCCACCTCAGCCTCCCAGAGTGCCAGGATTACAGGTGTGAGCCACTGCGCCCGGCCAATAATCAGAAATTTTTGAAGCGAAGTTTAGAGTGTGCTTAAAATGCAGATTTAAAAAGTCTTTTATGTTCACTATTTTTAACTTTACAGTTGGATTCTACATATGATTCTTGTTAATAAAAACGTTCAAGATAGTTATATATACTTTGGGACAGTTTTGTGAATTTTGTGTGATTCACAAATGGTAAATTTTTTTTGCGCTTTTATAAAATCTATATATGTTGTGACAGTATCCATGCTTGTATTTGGCAGCCATATTTTCTGCTCTGAAAAATCTTCAAGATAAGATTCGACGCTTGGAACTTGAAAGGATTCAGGCAGAAGAAAGTGTGAAAACCTTGTCTAAGGAAACAATTGAATATAAGAAAGTACTGGATGAACAGATACAAGAAAGGGAGAACTCAAAGAGTGAGGAATCAAAGCATAATCAAGGTTTGTCTGATTATGAAGGAAATTAAATTCTATCAAGTATTATGAAATTATTCTAAAATTCAGTGTTAACATTTACTAGTGGTTAGTGTCTTAGGATACTATATAAAATTACGTTGTTCTCAAGAGCAATTTGAGAAGCAGATGCTGATGTCGTTCATTAAATTTACCAACTGACTACAAGGCGGATTTTTGTAGCACACAGAAATGATTTAGCTGACCTGGGAAGGTCAGCACAGTATGGAACAGGTGCACATTGTATACACAGTAGATTCAATTCTGTTAACATCTTGTTAAAAACTGTTCTCTGGGTAAGCTGATTTCTACTTTTTTAATGTATTTTTTAGAACTGACATCTCAATTGTTAGCTGCAGAAAATAAGTGTAATCTTTTAGAAAAACAGTTGGAATATATGCGAAATATGATAAAGCATGCGGAAATAGAGAGGTCATCGGTCTTGGAAAAGCAGGTAAGGTACCTCATCGATTGATTGAGAGCAGTTAGTTGTGGGGAAAATTGGCTGAAATAAAGACCTTTATTCTCAGTGAGGACCCATGATGTTGGTCATTATAGGCCTTGACCAAAATGTTTTGGGATCAGTTATGGAATCTGAAAGTTTGATGGGCTTTATTCATTATTATTGTCGTATTTCGTAGAGTTTTACTTAAATTGGGAAAGAAGTGTACCATAAGTCATGTTAACTTCTTTGAGTCTACATCATAAAAAGTATAAATAATCATTCATCTCTGTACCTCTTAAATTTGTTTAAAGATTAAAGTGAAATAGCTTATTTGAAGGTTCTTTGTAAAACTCTTCACAGTTATTTTAGCAAAGTAATTTTCTGCTTTGTTACCCCAGAGGTCTTTGTACTTAAGTAACCATATTTGCTAGAGAGCATCAACATTAGTCTTGAATATGTTTTTTAAAGGATTTTCTTTTTCCTGTTATCTAGAATTTGAGTTAATCAAAAACACTGCCATTTCCGGGCATCTTAACTCTGCTGTGCACCAAGTGAAGGTTTATGTGCTTAACGTGATGCTAGGTGCTCTGCAGCTTTCTTCAGTACCGAGATGCTGTCTCAGTGATTAATTCTCGTGTATGTTGCAGGTCTCTTCATATGTTACTGAGTTTATTTCAGTGACCATATTTTCAACTGGGTCTTTTTCTATCCACTGAATTTTGTTATTTTAATGTATTACTCTAGTTTTTATTCCTTTTCTCTCTTTGAAACTGTAAGTCATTCTCAATTTTTTTGGATTATTTGATATTTTTAAAGTGTTCATCCTCTCATTTTATTTATTGATTCTTTCTGTTATTTCAGGGATTTTTTGACAGTTTTTTAAAATGGTGAACTCATATTCTTTAGAATTATTTTTATGGACATTCAGTGCTTTCTGTAGGTGGAACGATATTATACTTACGTCAGTCATCAAGCAGCCTTGTGAGGCAGTGTGGATTTTCCTTTGCTGAGTCCTGATGGGTTTTCTGGTTCTGGCCCAGGTTTATGTTGATACTGGCTTGGTATTCTCGCATCGTTGTGGATTGTACATTGTCTGAAGTTTAGTATCTTGTTCCTGCATGTCAGATATAGCCAGTTTCCAGTTCTGCCTCCTGAGTATTTCACTCGAGGATCCCTTCATCTGCTTCTGAGTTCCTTTCTCTTTTTTGCATCTAGAGATTTTTCTTTCTTGATTTCAGATATGCTGTGTAATCATTACTATTCTTACTGTTACTTTGTGTGTCATTTCTGTGAGGAGTGACTTGAAGAAAGGAGGGAGTCAGTTCAAAGAGATAACTTCAAAATGTCTCAACTACAATATTTAGGAGACAACTATTAAACATATATAATAGATGTCTTTGGATTATAGTCCTTGTTTCATCAGTGAATTTTTTTTTATCAGTAAATTTTAAATAGCACTTTTAATAAGGGTAATTTCTTAAGACTGGCTTCAATACTAGAAATAAAATAATAGTTCATGCAAATTTTTAAGTTAATGAGTTAAGTAAGAGCTGTGAAGATCCACTAAGGTGTACAAAATGTAATTAGTACTTCACAGATTTGTGATAAAATTATTGCTTTGTATCGGTTTGCCATATTCAGATTGCTATTACTATGATACCTATTGCCTTAGTCTTATACCGTAGAACCTCCCTACTCTAATAATCATCTTAAGTTGACCCCATTTTCATAGATCAAGCATGCACTGCATTTATGCGTCAGGACAGTAGACCTCGTTCTGCGTGGGGGGTCAACTTGCAGAGGTTCTGTTGTATGTAGAAATAGACTGTTTATAAGTCCAATTTAGTATTTCGGCTTTTTTACTAATACACCCCCATTTACCATATTTTCACTTCTAGTTTAGTGGTTTATTCTATTAGTCTTTAAGTCTGTATAAGAGACAGTATTTTCAAATGTGTGACTCTAAACCTGAAGATAAAAAGTTAAAAGAGTATTTTACATGGAATTTAAAGGAAATGTAAACCGGAGATTAACTACTTAAGAGCAGTGCCAGACTAGTTGAAAGTATGTGTGTGTGTCTTTTTGTCTGTGTAGTGTCCCTGTTATTCCAGGGCCTAAAGGTGGTCTCACTGTATGAAACTACGTGTTATGTAAAGTAGTATGTGTAGTTAAAACAGTATCACACTTACTTCAGTCATTCATTGATGCCCTGCTGTTTTACCGTAATGTTGTTTTCTTAGAATTTCTCTTATGTAAGTAAGTAGTTGTATGAAGAGCCAGCCAGTTGCATATAATGCCTTCTCAGCTATGCTCAGTGTTTTCCTGTTTTTAATTGTCAAATGATCATGTTATATTTAATGCTATTTTTCAGGTTTCCTTAGAAAGAGAACGACGACATGATCAGACACATGTTCAAAGCCAGCTTGAAAAACTGGATCTTCTTGAACAAGAATATAATAAACTTACCACAATGCAGGCTCTGGCAGAAGTCAGTGCATCTTTTACTCATTAATGCGTATTGGGGTTGTTTAAATTATATCACTGGATATTTATAGCAGTAAAGGTGATCTTATAGCAAAGAAGTACTTAGAAGTTTTAGGCATAGTGCCTATACATACAAGCATAGTGGCTTGTGCTTGTAATCAGAGCACTTGAGGAGACTGAGGTGGGAGGATCACTTGAACCTAGGCATTCAAGACCACCCTTGGCAATATTATTACAAGACCCTGTCTCTACAAAAATAAAAATATTGGCTGAGTGTCATGGCATATGTCTTTAGTCCTAACTGCTTGGGAACCTGGAACAGAAGGATCACTTGAGCCCAGACATTGGAGATGACAGTGAGCTGTGATCACCCAACCTGGGCGACATTGAGACCTTGTCTCCTAAAAACCATATTAATTAATTAATTTTAAAAAGTAGTTTTACAAAGAAAAAGTGTAAGCTTGGAGAGAATGTTCACATTTTATAATCTTGATGGGCATGAAAGTATTCTTTAAAAATACTTAAAGATTAAATGTTTTTGAGTATCCTTAAGGCTTGTATCACTGACTTATGTTCTCTAAACTAATTTAAGTTTTAATTATTGTACTTGGGAAGTATTGAATAACACTAAGTTCCACATTCAGCCTCCATGTTGCCTGTTTGCCTTTATAGAGAGCTGTGTTCTTTAGTTAGAGGTTTTTACCCATAACCCTACCCAATTGTGGCACAGCTAATCTCACAAGTGACGTCTAGTGGAACTCATGGAGATCATCATGAATGCGGTCAAGCCCAGAGGTCCTGTTACTAGGAGGAACAAACAAGCTCATTTGTGTGTTTGTTCTAATAGCAAACGAACAGATTCCTATGTTGTAATATTAAAATTTTACAAATAGATACTTAAGACTTTTTACTATTATCCCTTTTGATATTTTTGTCACTAGAAAAAAATGCAAGAGTTGGAAGCAAAACTTCATGAAGAAGAGCAGGAGAGGAAGCGCATGCAGGCCAAGGCAGCCGAGGTCAGTGACGTGAGCAGAGCTCCTCGTGCTTGTCGCTCACCCCTAATGTCTGGGCATCGTACGTGATTTATATCTCAGAGTAGCCAAATATATATATTTTAGATACAGCTTCATGTGGAAAATTATGACATTTTTATGGACAGTTGATTTGAGCAAATCTTTTAACATATTTCAAATTGTGGCTTTTCAGCCAGCATTTAAAACATAATAGACTAAAAAATATCAGATTATATACATAATAAAGTTAAGTAATCATGCAAGCCTTCTTATCACTATCAGAAATGTTCAAAATCATCATTTAGTATCCTGCTTATAGGTAGGACTTCTTTTCTTTGGTGGTGTCAAGATACCTCAAGTTGAGGTAAAGGGGTGCCCCAGTTCCAAATCAGGTCAACCCAGACCAGTTCACTGAAGCCACTACATCTGAAAAATAAGCCTACTTTCATCTAGCTTTTTATTTTATCCCGCAAATTGGCCACCAGATATTTCAGAAAAGATGAAGCCGTGTAGATTCACAAAAATGTTGTGTTTTATTAAGTATATACTAACCGGAACTGCTTTTCTAGGAGATTTAGCAAGACCACTGAAGCCAGTTTTATGGATTTGGTAAAATAAAATCTTGGCGTTTTTAACTGAAGATTGTCCTTATTATGAGCTTATTTGCTTAAATACCTCCTAGAAATTCCCCCCCTTCCTTGCAGAGTCTTTAAGGTTTATGACATGTGTTTATACCTTTTCTTTATAAGTAGGAGATATAAATCCCAAGGATTTGAGTCTTCACAGTTGAATCTGTGGCCCAGTTCCTACTGTGACCTGGGCTCATCTTATCTATGTGACCACAGGAATTTAAGCTTTTTACTATATTATCTTATCTTTGCTATCTTATCTATTTCTTCTAATGCTTCTCTGAACTCATTTGACTTACGATATTTTCTTTCTGTTAAGCCTGATATTTCCCTCACAAATATTCACCTTCTGGTCAATTTTTAGATTGAGATTTTTTCCCCCATTATTGTGCTTTGTGCGTCATGTAGCCATGTGCCTTTATTCCTAACCAACAAATGTTCTCTGTCTGTTTCCACTTTGGGGTAGTCCTCTTGGCTGTGTATTCATAAACTTGTAACAAGAAGATTGTGCTTTATATATATTGTGTTCAGTCCATTAGGTATGAAATTAAAAATGTAGCATGTTCATTGTTTTATGAATTCTGAATATTAATGTATGCTATCTTTATTTGGGGGGATTTTTTTTTTTAATTTAACAGGCAATAAATAGGGACCAAATCAGCTATTGCTGGTAATCTGGTATTAGTCAAGGTTCTGAGTTTTGAGAGTGAACATTGTTGTACTAGAACCATGTCAAGGGATATATGCTTCCAAGTCTAGCCTTAGGGAAGTTATTTAACCAGACCATGGATTTCACCATTGATAAAGTGGTCTTCATTTTACATCTTCTCAGTGTTAGGGAGATCAAATGAGATTTGAAAATAATGAAAGCACTTAAAAATGTTAAAATTCTAGCACAGATATAACACAACTGCTGAGAAGAACTAAATAAGCTGGAAGTTAATAGAACATTGTTCTATTCATTGACATCGTAAGTCTTCCAGAGTCGTAATTACTGTTCGCTGAATTATATCTAGTCCATTTACCATGTGTAAAGGATCGTTAGGTATATGGGAGTGTACAGATGCTCCTGAGGGTAGAGATCCCTAGATTGCTTTGTCAATGAATAGAATCCTTCCCACAAAGAGTACAATTGTGTTGGAAGTATTAGTAATGATTTCTGTATTTCTTCTTACTGACTCCATTGGCTGGCTGTTTTGGCTCATCATCATTTTCAATACTTTAACTTCCCCAGCCTACAAGGCCCAAAATTGTGAGGTCTGGATAGGAGCCTGGCAATTTGGATTTTTTCCATAAACTCTACATAGTTTTGATACATAAAGGCATATTTGAAACAACCACTATTTCAGACAAGTTTTTTGTTTTGTTTTGTTCTTGTTTTAGGAAAGTTGAATTCAAAATATTAAAGGATACAAGTGTTTTTGTTACATGGGTAGCTTTTAATGATGCTTAAGTCAGGGCTGTAAGTGTGCCCATCACCCGAATAGTGTTCATTGTACTCGATGGGTAAGTTTTTACCCTTCCCTCTTTCTCTCTCCCCCTTTCATGATTTCTGTTGATTATGACTTCTCTCAGCCCCGGGTGTCCATCAGTTAGAATAGTTCCAAAATTATTAGCGAGTACATGGGATAATGGTTTCCAGTTTCATCCAAATTGCTGCAAAAAATGTTAATTTATTCCTTTTTATGTAGTACTCCATGGTGTGTGTATGTATATATATATATATTTTTTTTTTCCATATTAATCCACTAGTGAATTGATTAGCCCTTGGGTTTGTTTCATATCTGCAATTTTGAGTGTAGATGTCTTTTTGATAAAATGAATTCTTTTCCTTTCGGTAGATACCCAGTAGTGAGATGGTAATTGAATGGTAGGCCTATGTTTAGTTCGTTGAGAAATCTTCATGATGTTTTCCACAGAGGTAGTACTAATTTGCAGTCCCCCCAGAGTATTTCAGTGTTCCTTTCTTTCTATATCCACACCAGCATCTGTGTTGTTTTTGAATGTATTACTAAGCCATTCTGAAAAGGGTAAGGTGATGCCTCAGTGTGGTTTTAATTAGTGATGTTGAACATTTTTTCATGTATGTTAGCCATTTGTTTTAGCCTCTTTCGAAAAGCTTCAGTTTATATCTTTTACCCATTTTTTTAATGGGATTATTTGGTTGGTTTCTTGTTGATTTGTTTTATATCTTTGTGGATTCTGAATAGTAGCCTTTTATGAGATGGATAGCTTTAGCCTACAGGTATTTTCTCCCATTTTGTAGGTTGTCTGTTTGCTCTATTGATTCCCTGGCTGTGCAGAAGCTTTTTAATTTAATCAAATCCTATTTACTTTTGTTGTCATAATTGCCATTGGGATGTTAGTCATAAATTCTTTGCCTGGGCCAATATCTAAAAGAGTTTCCAACATCATCTTCTAGAATTTTTATGGTTACACGTCTTTTAATTAAGTCTTTTATTCATCTTGAATTAATTTTTGCATGTGGCTATCCAGTTATCCCTGCGTTATATATCATAGGACTTCTTTTCCCCAGTGTATGTTGTCTGCTTTGTCAAAGATCAGTTTGTTTTAAAATGCATGGTTTTATATCGAGTTCTCTGTTTGGTCCCATTGGTATACATTTTGATCTCTATTTTTGTATAGTACCATGCTGTTTGGTTATTATACCTTTGTGGTATACTTTGAAGTATGGTAATGTGCTGTTTGCAGGTTATTTCTATTCGCTTAAGATTGCTTTTGGCTATTAGGGCTCTTTTTTGGTTCCGGACAAAGAGTAAAGTTACTATTTCAAGATCTGTGAAATATACAGTGTTGGTAATTTGATGGGCATTGTGTTAAATCTGTAAACTACTTTGGTCAGTATGGGAATTTTAAAAATGTTGATTCTACCAATCTATGGGCATGATATGTTTTTCCATGTGTTTGTGTCAACTGGAATTTCATTCATCAGCATTTTTGTAGCTCTTGTAAAGATTTTTCACCTCCTTAATTAAGTATTTTTCCTACGTATTTCATTTTATTTTTATAGGTATAGCAAATGGTACTGAGTCCTAATTTGACTCTCTGCTTGACTGTTATTGATATATTGAAATGCTACTGATTTGTTTCCTTTTTTATTTTTTTAACCTGAGACTTCACTGAATTTTATCAATTCCAAAAGTCTCTTAGAGGAATCATTGAGATTTTCTAAATAAAAGATTATATTGTCAAAAGGAGGTCAAAAAACAGTAGTTTGACCTCCTCTTTCCTGATTGGGATACCTTTATTTCTTTCTCTTGTCCAATTGCTCAGGCTAAGACTTCCAGTAATACCTTGAATAGAAGTGGTGACAGTGGGCAACCTTGTCTTGTGGTTTTTAGGAGGAATGCTTTCAGGTATTTCCCATTCAGTGTGAAGTTTTATGAGGGTTTTTTATATATGGCTTTTATAATTTTGAGACGTATTTCTTCTATGCCCAGTTTGATGTTTTTATCATGAAAAGGGTACTGGATTTTGTTAGATGCTTTTTCTGCATCTATGAGGATAGATGCAGAATGCTTTTTATCTTTACAGATGCAGAAAAAGCACTCTTACTGTTGATGTGGTGAATGAAATGTACTGATTTATGTATGTTCAACCATGCTTGCGTCCCTGGGAATAAACTCACTTGACCGTTCTGTAATCTTTCTGTCTTTTCGATGTAGGCATTTAAGGGTATAAAATTTCCCCTTAGGACTGCTTTTGCTGAATCCCATAGTTTTTGATAGATTGCTCAAACTGAACAACAAAGGAAAGACAGTCTTTTGATTTCCATCTTAATTTCATTATTGACCCAATAGTCATTCAGTAGCATGTTGCTTCATTTCCGTGACTTTGGATATTTTTTAGTGTGTTTCTTTTTAAGTTGATTTCTAGTTTTATTCCATGATGACCTGAGAAGATCCATGGTATTATTTCAGTTTTCTTTTGGTTTGTTGTCCGAGATATGATTGATCTTGGAGAATGAACTGTGTGATAATGAGAAGGCATATTCAGTAGTTTGGGGGCAGGTCCATTTGTTCTAGAATACCGTTTAAGACTAGTGTTTATTTATTTTCTGCTTTTTTGGACTGTCCAATTCCGTCAGTGTTAAAGTCCCTGGCAGTTATATCTTTGGTTATATCAAGTAGAATTTGCTTTTTGAATCTGGGAGCTCCTGTGTTAGGTACAGATGTGTTTAGGATTAGGATTGGTATGTCTTGTTGAATTGCTACCATTACCAACATATAACAACTGTCTTTGTCTTTCTTTACTGTTACTGTTTTGTTGATATGAGAATGACTACCCCTGCTCTCTTTTGCTTTTCTTTCTTTTTTTTTTATTGTTGGGGATTCATTGAGGGTACAAGAAACC